GAGAGGAAGATCTTCCGTCCGATGATTCACTCCCCAAGTGAGCGCAACGGGCCGATGCTATGCCGATCCGAAGTCAGGAGCCTCTTCCGGGTCTCCCACGTGGGTGCAGGTTCCCAAAGCTTTGGGCTGTCCTCGACTGCTTCCCAGGCCACAGGCAGGGAGCTGGAAGGGAAGCGGGGCTGCCGGGATTAGAACCGGTGCCCATATGGGATCCCGGGTGTGCAAGGCGAGGACCTTTAACCACTTGTGCCACCGTGCCGGGCCCTGCAATAAAAATTTTAAAAAATCATTTTAAAAAATCTCCAAGCCTGCCTTCTTCACCAGGTGCCATCAGTTGGGGGTGGGGGTGTCATACCGTCCCCAGGGCATACAGGCTAATGGGCTTGTAAACTGCTTCCTCAGGTCAGAAGCAGGGCGCTGGATCAGAAAGTGGAGCACCTGGAACAAGGACAGATGCCTACACGGGATGCTGGAGCCGCAGGGTGGAGGGTTAGCTGTGCCACCACACCACCCCTTACCCCCCGTTGCATTCTTAAACACAGTAAAATGAGGTTTGAGACAAAATCTAGATGGGAATCCTTATAAGCCCAACCAGGGCTCCCCATCCCTACCTCAGAACTAGTGAGAGAAGAGAGGGAGTGCTTGGGGCAGCTGGGCGAGGGCAAAACTGGCACATGGGCTGTGCTGGAGTGGCTGACGGGACAGCTGGTGAGGAAGGAAGCAGAGGAGTCACGGTGCCACCAGGCCAGGGGCACACCGAGCAGGAGCATGGCAGGAGGCTCACCCACCTTCCGTCTGAGAGCAGCAGAGAAGCTAGAAGCAAAGAGGAATCGCTGTGAAAGGGCCCAGAGGGATGGAAAATGGAGATTGTGCTGCTTGTTTTATGTCTGTGACTGTTTCCAAACTTCAAAAATAAGCCCGGTGGAGACGGAAAGAGGTCTGGAATGCAGATCGCTCTGCTTGCGCTTTCTCCCAAAGCTTCCAGAAAAAGCAAAGAGGGAGGCTGCAGGGATGGGGCTTTGAAATTCCCTCCACCAAGCCAGGCCGGATGCAAGGGCAGGGGCAGCAGAGAGGAACCCTGCTGGAGCCTCAGATGCTGGCTTCCTCTTGGCTTGCTGGGCCAGGGAGGGTGGGGGTTCAGGGATGAGGGCTGCAGCCTGGACCTGAGGCAACCCAGCACCATCAAAGGGGTTCCTCTGCTGGGCCAGTGGAGGCTGGGAGGAGATGGGAAGCCCCTCCTGCAGGCCAGAGACCCTCGCTCTGCCATCAGTGATCAGCACACACCTTCCCAGCTTCCGATCCAGCAGGTGCACCCCTCCCAGGTCCTCTGTGGCTGCTGCAGGGCACAGTAACCCCTGTAGTGCCGGCCACCAGGATCTGTTTTCCCTGGATAAGAGAAATACTGGCTATTAAAGCAAGCATTTCCAGACACACAAAAGGTTTCAGGCTGCTGAGTGGGATGCCTGTGTTTACTCATTTCCCCCATCTGGTTGAGGTAAGGGCAGGAAAGGCTTGAAATGGAGCCCAACCCACACCCGCCCCCTCTCTCGGCCAGGAAGAAAACATTCACGCAGGAGAACACAAGCAGAGGCTCCAGGCCCTGTTGCTGTGAGGGGTGCGTGCCTGGCTGGCGGGCAACACCAACGCCATCACTCCTGTCACCCCAAAGCCCCTGCCTTCAGGGAGCCACTCAGCATGCCATGTGCTACAAGTGCAGATTGGGGGCACGGAACCCAAACCAGTTTGATTTTTGCTCAAAAGGGAGAACTTTGAGAGATGAACAGACATCTTGCATCCCCTGGCTTACGTGCCAAGTGCCCACTGTTACCAGGAATGCCCGGTGGGGTCTTTCCTCAGCTTAGCATAGAAATAAAAAGCCAGGGATCTGTTGCAGACAGAAGAGACCAGGTGAGCAGGGAAGGAAGAGGGGAGGTGGGGACCCTCTCGAAAGAGGAAGGGAGAGACACCAAAGGTTCCAGGAAGGGTCTTGGGATTTCACCCATTCCCTGACCCCTCCTTTGTTGGGCGGGGAACCTACAGGTAAGATGTTCCCCATTGGTAGTCTGTTAATCAGTTAGGAAATGGGTGGGCAATGCTGGTACCGCCCACCTGAAGGTGTGGCCAAGACCTGGCAGGCCTGGATGGCCTCACCCATTAGACAGTACTGGGCCAGGCTGAAGCCAGGAGCCTGGAAATCTGCCATGCAGATCTCCCCGTGAGTGGCAGGGACCCAGCGACGTACCAAGGTGTACACTGGTGGGATTTGAAGCAGAGGAGGATACAGCGTGCAGGCACCCAAGGCCGTGTTAATCCTTTTCAAGCAATGCCTGGAAGACTTGTGTGTAGCAGACTGGTAGCACAGACAGTGCAAAAAGTCAGTTCTACCCAATGCAACACGAGGCATCAGGGAAGAGTGTGACAAGCGAATTCTAAAACCCACACGGAAGCGTCTGGCACTGAGGCACAGACGCTGAGCTGCTGCTTAGACACCAGCACGTGGCGTCATCAGAGCACCGGGCAGGGCAGCGTCCTCTCCCAGCCTGGCTTCCTGTGACAGTGTGTGGGAAGGCAGCGGAAGGCAGCCCCATAGCCTGGGGGGAGACCCCCACAGGACTCCTGGCTCGGAGTCCAAATAAATCAATACATCTTTTTAAAAACAAAATTTATATGGGAACACAACCAACTGGGATCTTTTCTGTGTTTCTATGCCAGTTAGGAGCTGGTAAGCTGGTCTCATTCTGCTAGTGGAAGGCAACCCTCAGTCTCACAGACACCAAGCTGGTACCACTTGCTTCTCCCTGCCTAACCTGTGCTCCCCAATGTCAGAATCACACAGCGGGGCCTTACTCACCGCCCCTGGGTCATGGGACTCCTTACAAACCCACTGGGACACCAAAACCATTCAGGAAACACTTCAGACATACAGAAAACTGATCCGGCCAGCACCAGCAGCCCCAAGTCCAGTGCCAGCCCTCCACAGCCTGACACAGGCAGAGGAAAACAGCCACTCGCCATGTTGGTGCAGTGCACTGCACCAGCAAGGGGAACTGCATTTCTCTCTTCAGTGGGACTGAGTGTCTGACACATCAATTACGGAGACAGCCTCCTGCTAACGGCCACCCAGCACCCAGAGTGCACATGCACCCAGCACAGGATTTTTCAAGTGACCCCTCAACAAAGGCAGGCAGCCTTGCGAAGCCAGCTGAGAGGGTGGGGGCTCAGCGCCCCCAGCTGCTGGCCACTCGTGTTCTGGGTATCACCCAGTAGTTAACTTTTGCAGGAGCTGGGGACACTGTTGCCTGAAGCCCACGCTAGGGAGGCCCTGCCCTGTGCCACGGCTGAGCAACACACAGGACAGATAGCAGGCTGGTGGGTGGCCAGTGAGGGCAGCTCCTCACGAAAAGACCCAATGGGATCCAATCACTACAAACTACACCGAAGGTCACAGGGTGTCCTTGCCAGGCCCAAGTTCCGGGGCCTGGTCATCTATGCAGAACCAGGGGTGCCTGGCTCTGAGAGGGCCTGCTGGACACGGAGTCACCAGCCAGAGCCTGAGCTGCCCCCTCCACAGCCCAGGAGTCCCCAGCCACCTGCACAGGCCAGCATCACAGGAGTTAGAGGATTCCCTTCCTAGCTGTACCTGCCATTGCACTGTAACTTCCCCCAAGCAATGTCCCAGAACCCCAAAGCCTGGGCCCAGCCCGGGAATGTCGCAGAACCCCAAAGCCTGGGCCCAGCCCGGGAATGTCCCAGAACCCCAAAACCTGGGCCCAGCCCGGGAATGTCGCAGAACCCCAAAGCCTGGGCCCAGCCCGGGAATGTCCCAGAACCCCAAAGCCTGGGCCCAGCACGGGTAGGAAGACACAGTGCTGAGCAGGGAGCCAGGCAGACCAGGGTCCTCTGAGGCAGGCGCTCTTTCAGGACAAATAGGGGTGGCGCAGGTCTCCCGCTGCGCAATTTGGGGGGGGGGGGTACACTCGCTGGAGCTGCTAGGAAACCGCTCCTCCCTACCCATGCAAACCACGCAGATGCTACTGCTGGTGAGCGACCTGAGCGATGTCATTTCACTGAGTCCAAGGGTTCGGGGCCCACAGCGCTGGCAAGCTTGGGGCACACGCACTGGGAGCCATGGGGCGTAGGAAGCGATCCCTGCGTGGCAGCTTTTGCCAGCCCAGAGCCTGGCAGGCGCGCGCGGGGCAAAGCCAGGCGGCACACGGCGGCCCTGCCCCGGGCCGGGCCCACCCGCGCGCCCCGCCGGCGTCCCGCAGGCCCGGGATGGCCGCCCCGGGGGACCGGGAAGGAAACCGGACCCCGCCTCTCGCGGCGCTTTCGTCACGTCCCACCGAGCGCGGCGAACGCGGCCGTGCGAAATGCGCGCTGCGGGATCCCGGCGGCCTCGCCGGCCGCGGCCGGGCGGCCGAACCCCGCAGCGCGGACGGCGCCCCAGCACGGCCGCCCCGAGCCCCGCCGAATCTGCCGCGCCGCGCGCCGGAAGTGCGGGCCTCCGGCCGGAAGCCGCGCCGCCTCCATTTTGTGGCCCGCTATGGCGGCGGTGTCGAGGCGGGGGGCCGGGATGCGGCGCTTTTGACTGAGAGGGCGGCCGACGGGGCCGTCGCGGGCGTCGCGCGGCGCGGAGAGGACCGGCCGCGGCGCCGGGGACGCTGTCATGTACGGCGCGGGCGGGGGCCGCGCCAAGGCCGAGCGCAAAGGCGGCGCCAAGGAGGAGGCCGGGCCCGGCGGCGCGGGCGGCGCGAGCAGCCGAGTGGAGCTGCTGGTGTTCGGCTATGCCTGCAAGCTCTTCCGGGACGACGAGCGGGCCCTGGCGCAGGAGCAGGGACAGCACCTCATCCCGTGGATGGGGGACCCCAAGATCCTCATCGACAGGTCGGTGCCTGCCGCGGCCCGCGGGCCTGCCCTCTCCCTTCCCCTGCGGCGCGCGTCGCTCCGGGGCCGCGGGGACTCGGGGGGCTGCGGGGTGCGGGGGCCCGGAGGCCCGTTGGCGCCGGGCTTCCGGAAGGGGCGGCGGGGCCGGGGGGCAGGGGCAGGGATGCGCCCCACCGCACCCCTCGGCTCCCCGGGACTGGAGGCTAACCGCGGGGACCCGGCCTTAGACTGCGCGTGGAGGAAGCCGCCGTTGAGACCGTAAAGCCGGATTCTGCAGAGCCTGCACCGGGACTGTAGGGACGCCCTGGGAGCTGGGCACGATGGACACGCGCGGCCCCGCGCCGAGTTAGGGAGGGCTGGCAGGGGCCCCCGCCGGGGCCTCGGAACTGGGTGTCTCGGATGCTGGCTGTGGCAGGGCGCGCTTTGCAGTGCTCCTTGGGAAGCGACAGGTGCGCGATCTTGCTGCGGCTCTGCTGTCTGCCACGTATGGCTGGGATAGGGCTGCCAAGCTTGGTGGGCAGCAGACGCCACGCGTGGATATGTGTGAGCGTTTTAAGTGGTAATCTACATTTGTAAGTTAGGGTTTGCGTCAAAGTAAGACTAATTTTGAAGTTTAATAAAATGCAATAAGTTGGCTACCTTGAAATTTTTGGCCTTTCTTTTCCCCTGGGAAAAAAAAACGCCTTTTTATTAAAGCAAAAAAAAAGCTGGTAGTCTTGGTGACTGTTACAAAAGTCAACATTAAGAAAGTAAGCAGACTTTTGCTGTTGCTCTGCAAGCCCCAGCCGCAGCGTTTCCAGTTCTGCTCACGCCCTTGCCCCAACAGCTGCACGCACGCGGCCTCCTCGGCATCCTTGGTTGAAGGCAGAGCAGAGCGGCTCTCTGTAGCCTGGAGAGAAGCGTGGATGTGCCGTCCCCCGTGACTCCTGGGAGTGCAGCTGGTGCCCGCTGTGCTGTCCCAGTGCGCCTGCTGCAACTGCACGTGTGTCACTGTTCCCATGTCTGTGTGTCTCTCTAGCACGTAACACAGCACTTATTTCCTCAGCCAAGGGGCTAGGGGCCAGCCTAGCCAAGATTTTACCTCCAATGGACGCAAGTTCCTTTGATGAAGATTGCTCCTGAGAGTTCGGGACTAGCAGAAAGAAGCGAGGAAATTTGCACCGTTTGGTTCTTACGGATAGGTATTTATGTATTCGGTTTGTGTGAATGTAAGCTGTGATATTTGACTTTACAGAAAACAAAGCTTTTGCAAATGGCATTGAATGATTGACCAGATCATACTAGATGGTAAGAACGACCAAAGTGGACAGCTCTTACGCTATTAAAAGCCTGATTTGCCCTTCGTTCTAAGTCTTGTCAGACCGTAGAAAGGAGTTTGTGTTTTGTTAAGATAACTTGAGCTTAGAAGTAGGTGAGACACAACTAGCCAAGTTAAAAATAGCCATGAGAATGTTTGTATTTGCTTTAATATTTCTGTTTCTTCGTTGGCCTGGTAAGTATCCGTGCAAGCTGTGCCACACGCACCGTGCCCTGACGTGCACTTCCAGCCGCTGACCAGTGCGTTCGTATTACAGATATGACGGGCGTGGTCACCTGCACGACCTCTCTGAGTACGACGCCGAGTATGCCACGTGGAACAGAGAGCACCAGCTGTCGGAAGAGGAGGCGCGGGTAGAGGCCCTGTGTGATGAAGAGAGGTATTTAGCCTTGCATACGGACTTGCTTGAGGAGGAGGCGAGGCAAGGTACTGCTCAAGAAAAACTTACTTCAGCAACAAACTTTAAAAATTTTAAGTATTTTAAAATTCACTCCCATTCATTTTTATACTCACTCTTTCTGATGTTATCTTGACAGTACCCAGTGGATTGGAAAAGCAGGATCTTTGCGTTCTGAGAGGACCTCAGGACAGTTTATGTAGAGAGCCACAGAGAATTTTCCCAGCTTGTGAGGGCAGACTGGGATTTGAGGAAAAAAAAAAAACACAAAACAAAACAAAAAAAATAAAACCAAAAAACTCTAACTGTTCTTCTTTAACAGTATCGTATGAAAACTGATGTTCTTGTCTTTGCCTTAACGATCTTTAATGCAGTTCTTAATCCCAAAGTTTTCTCACCAGGAAGAAATTTTCCACAGAAGACCTGTATTCTTCTGTCTGGGTAAACGCCTACTGGCCAGAGTACAGATAGATGTGAAGTGTGACTTGTACAACTCACCTTCGCGTCAGACTTGGAAAAGTGTGTTGTATGCTTCACTGATAGCTACAACCTTAGAAATATGTCAATTTTTTCTTCCATTAATTTCCGTTTTGTTAATAAAGCTCTCATTTTTATTCAAGAGGAAGAATACAAGCGGTTGAGTGAGGCGCTAGCTGAGGATGGGAGCTACAATGCCGTGGGGTTCACTTACGGCAGTGACTATTACGACCCGTCAGAGCCGACGGAGGAGGAGGAGCCTTCCAGACAGAGAGGTGAGGGGCCGCTTGGCTCGGGTGGAGGCCAGGCCGTCGGCTGCGGCCAGCGCCTGTCCAGGCTAGAGACCGCACGCAGCAGCCGTGCGTGGCGCTCAACCCCGGCGAGTTGGGGTTCCGAGAGAGGTGGGGGATCAGATGTGTGTGGTCTGCAGAAAATGACCCAGGCTAGAGTCTGTGATGGCGGTTCCTTCTTGGGACCTTGAGACGATAGGCAGTGTCCTGTGGCCCTTCCCTCTCCCCAGAGTGGGGGCACCCTGAGGCTGCACTTAGCACCCAGAGGAACAGCAGCAGGGTTCCCTGGACACGGCAAATGATACCTGTATGAGACAAATGGTTTTAGTTCATGCTTTTCTGGGAACTTTGACCATAAGAAATGGTGCCACTGTAAATTATGGGCTGTGGTAGAGGAGGAACAGGCGTCCTTCGTCCCCGTGTCAGCGCTGAGAGCATTCTGCCTTCACGTCAGCGACAGTGCCACGGGCCTGAGGAAGAAAGGCCCGCTCACCTTCGGCTTCACGTTGGAAACCATTGGAATATGTGGGCCGGTAGACCGGAGCCATGGCCGCAGAGCTCGCCTCCTATGGCTGGCTATCACTGTTGGGGGATTATTGAATTTCTTCTAAAGTAAAAAACCTCTTACAGGTGTAAAGTAGTCAGTGCCATTTAGCTGAGAAATTCTGCATCCTTCCTTGCCACCGCCGTGGCTTGTTCACGGGCATGCCTCAGCCGTGGCCAGTGGCCCAGCAGCCGTGGCCAGTGGCCCAGCGGGCCTGTTCACTGCCGTGAGCTTGGGTGGGACAGGTTTGCTGGGTTGCTTTGGGCCCTTCTTTAGTGCTACCTATTACTGTGGGCAAAAGAAACATGGTAACTGTTGAAGAGCTTTGTGTGCTTTGCAGGCGTCAGTGTAACTGTGTTGGATTTTGGCTGACATTGAGGAGGGCTACACTGTCCTATTTCTGTAGCCCAACGCAGGCATGTGTTCAGTCAGTTACTCTTTGGGGCTTCTGGAGAGTTGAGATTTTGTTGTCTGGTCTTTCAACTACAAAACAGTGTTTTTATTTTAAATCATTTTTTTAATCAGAAGGAAAGGATAAATATGGTCACTATTTTATGAAGAACTGAAATATATAAATGTATGCGTTTTGTTTTGTTTTTTTCCAGACTCATAGTGGCAGTCTTTAGAAGAAACCATTCTGTTGATTCCCCAAAATTCTGGGACATTCTGGGTCAGGGATCTGTCACCCTTAACCCCCAGTTCATTTGTTTGATGTGGACTCAGCAGGGTTGGGTGGGCTCACCAGAGGCCCCGCCCCCGAGCATTTAGAGGGTTTGTCAGTCCGTGTGTGGTCACCAATAGCTTGTCAGTCCGTGTGTGGTCACCAGTAGCTTGTCTTTGCAGGGTGGTTTATTTAGTGTTCATGACTTTTTTAAAGTTAGCCTTTCTGTAACTATTTCTCAGAACTTGCCCTTATATGCTAAGTACTAATGTAAATTGGGCCTTGTGAGGCTTTGAGCTTAATCTGTGGTGTTTAACTTGGATTGCTACAGTAAAACAGGGTGCAGGTGCCCATCGGTCTGTGGGAGGTCAGGTGCTCTCCCAGCGTCCATCCCCGACCCCGTTGAAGTCACAGAACAGTAGATGGAGGGGAAGAAAGATTGTTGGGCAAGAGGGCTTAACTCGGTCTGGTTTTGCTATTTTAAAGCCTTGTGGAATTGAGCAGGGTCACTTTTTATTTTTTTTAAGATTTATTTATTCTTACTGGAAAGGCAGATCAGATTTACAGACAGAAGGAAACGCAGAAAAAGATCTTTCATCCACTGTTTCACTCCCCAAGTGGCCCCAACGGCTGGAGCTGAGCTGATCTGAAGCCAGGAGCTCCTGCAGGTCTTCCAAGTGGGTGCAGGGTCCCAAGGCTTTGGGCCATCCTCCACTGCTTTCCCAGGCCACAGGCAGGGAGCTGGATGGGATGTGGGACTGCTGGATAAAACCAGCCCCCGTATGGGATCAGCACATTCAAGGCGAGGACTTCAGCCACTAGGCCAGCAAGCCAGGCCCTTCGGCATTTAATTCTTTAACAGACTTTTTTTTTTTTTTTAAAAAAAAGGCCTGAAACTGTTGAAATCTGTAAAAATGTAGTTTTTTACTTTCTCACTTTTTTTATACATTTTCCTATTTTTAGACTGCTAATGATCTGAATTGTTGAGATATATTTAGATACCTTGGGATTCAACATTTACAAAATGTACTAAATTGTATAGCACAGAGACCTGGTACCCCTCTGACTAAGGACCATGTCTGTAAATGACCAGTTTAAGAATTAGGCTGCTATAGGTTTGCTGGATTTTCAGTCATGCCTGCAGCTGCCTTGGCAGGCCAGGCCAACTGATTTTGCAGACATTATAAAGACCATGGGCTGGACATTTTGTTGCATGAAAAAACAGAAATGGAAAAAGTACACCTGATTGTGAAAGAGAGATAGTTGAACTTTGGTGAAGTCGTCACAGACCATCCCAGGCGTTTTATACTTCATTGATGAGAATCGGTTATTTGGGGATTGATTATCTTTGCCTCGTACTCTCAGACATCTGCAGAAGTAGTTGTAACATACATGACGCTTGCAAGTGGAGAAAAGGGCCCAGCCTGAGGTATTTAGTGTTTTAGTCTAGGCATTCACACAGCCTGGGCCTGGAACAAATGAAGTGTGTGTGTCCCAGTGCCAGCGTGGCCCAGCCCCTACTCAGCAGGATTTCCTGCTTGCTCTCGGGGCATCTGTGAGCACTGCAGTCACTGCTCTGCCACAGTGGTGCTCACTGCTGATGGGCTCCTTTTGTCACCAAAGTCACCGAGAGGACAGCCCCTTATCTGTTCACCCCCCACTTCCCCCCAGGAGCCGGGGCTGAGGGCAGAAGCTGAGGGGAGCCATCGCTGCTGCCTTGCAGGGTCTGCATTGGCAGCAAGTGAGGGTCAGGATCGAGAGCCAGAAAGGCACCGGTACACTGGTGTCAGTGGTGTGAGGCAGGGGACGGCCTCTACTGCCAGGCTAGGCTGAACCTCTGCCTTTATTTTTAGTTGTGTTTCAAACATTGTTTTATTTATTTGTAAGACTGTTACAAAGGAAGAGCTTTTTCATTGGCTGGTTCACTCCCAAAAATGGCCACAATGGCCAGAGCTGGGCTATACCAAAACCCATCTTCATCTGGGTCTCTCATGTGGTTGCAGGGCCCAAGCGCTGGGACCGACCCTGCTGCTGTCCCAGGCGCACGAGCCAGAGCTGAGGTGGAAGTCAAACAGCCAGGACTTGAACTGGCACCCGTATGGAATGCTGGCTTTCCAGGCGACTGCTCAGTGTGCTGTGCCACGTACAGGCTCTTGCTTATCGCTCACAGTAGATACTCTAGCTATGATTTTGCTTTCATAACCTGATGGCGAGTGAGGCCGTGTGCAGTGCCCACTGGGATGGCATGGAGCCAGCTGTGAGAAATGAGGGAAGGCTGCCCCAGCCCCTGGCGTTCAGTCGTCCCTTGCCACACGGGAATTGTACCTCTCACATTAGCACCCGCAAGCGCACATGCCAGCACCTGGCTCTGCATTCCTAAAGTTTTGTATTTCATTTATTTACAGAAAAAAATGAGGCAGAAAATTTGGAGGAAAATGAAGAACCTTTCATTGCCCCTTTGGGATTGAATGTCCCATCTGACGTGGAGCTGGTAGGTGTCTCCCTCTCCAGGTGTGACTGACGTGTGTTTGTGTGTTGGCTAGCCGAGGCTAGTGTCCTGGGAGAGTGACAGCAGTGTGATCCCGTCCAGTGCTCCGTGGGCTCGCAGAGTGGACCAGCATGGGGGAGAAGTCAGCTCCCTGGGCAGTGGGCATTAGCCACGTAGGGGTATGGCTTTCTGGCTGGGTTCTGGGGGGTTTGCATGCTTTGGCCCTGCAGCGTCTCCGGCAGCACTGCCCACAGGATCCCGTACCTTGCCAGCCACCGTCCACCTGCTGCTTCAGATCTTGATTAGAAGTTGTTTATAACAAGGAACTTTCTTTCTCTCTCTTTTTCTTTTTAATTAATTTATTTTTATTGGAAAATCAGATATACAGAGAGAAGGAGAGATAGGAAGATCTTCTATCCACTGATTCACTCCCCAAAGCTGAGCTCATCCAAAGCCGGGAGCCAATCTGAAGCCAGGAGCTTCTTCCAGGTCTCCCATGTGGGTGCAGGGTCCCAAGCGTTTGGGTCATCCTTAACTATTCTCCCAGACCACAAGCAGGGAGCTGGACAGGAAGTGGAGCAGTAAGATCATGGGCTGATGCCCACATAGGATTTTGGCATGTGCAGGCAAGGGTTTAGCCACAGAGCCATCACTCTGGACCCAGAACCCTGTCTTTTGATGCTATAAGGGGTTTTTGCCCTGGGGGCTCATGTTGAGCCACTCCAGACTTTAAATTTCAGGAGTGCTGACCCTGTGAGGGCTCTCCGTTCTTGTCCCTCTTTCCTGATAAGGAGACTTGGGATGTGAGGATCAAGCCAGACTCCATTCCTCCCTGGGCAGCCGCATAGGTCCTTTTGCTTCCCGGGGCCCTGTGTATAGTAAGGGGCTTCCATGGCTTGTGCAGACTTACAGCAGTTTCCCAGTGTGCATGCCAACTTGAGCTTCTCAAGGGACAGAGCTGCAAGTGTGTGTGGAATTGTTATTTCTTCTTGTGTGTTGGGTTCCTGCTTGTTGTAAAATATGCAGTTATTCTATATAGCAGACCCATTCAGATTAAGCCGAAAAAACCCACAGGTGCTCCTATTTTAATGGTTTAAAAAAATGCAATTGATGTTGGCTGCATGCAATTTGGTTTTGTTTGTTTGTTTTAAGGTTTATTTTTTGGAGGCCAGTGTTTGATAATGAGTTAGTTGCCATCTACAGCATGGGCATTCAATGTGGGCGCTGGTTTGAGTCCCTGCTGCTGAACTTTTTGAGTCCAGCTCCCTGCTAATGGCCTGGGTCCTTCGGCTCCTGCGGCCTGGCCTAGCCCCTGCTGTTGGAACTCATTTGGAGATTGTTTTTTTTAAGATTTATTATTTTTACTGGAAAGTCAGATTTACAGAGAGGAGGAGAGACAGAGAAGAACTTCCGTCCGATGGTTCACTCCCCAAGTGGCTGGAGCTGAGCCAATCTGAAGCCAGGAGCCAGGAACTTCTTCCAGCTCTTCCATTGTGTGTGGGTGCAGTGTCCCAAGGCTTTGGGCTGTCTTCGACTGCTTTCCCAGGCCTTAAGCAGGAAGCTGGATGGGAAGTGGGGCTACTGGGATTAGAACCGGCGCCCATATGGGATCCCAGCACGTGCAAGGCGAAGACTTTAGCTGCTCGGCCATCGCCGGGCCCTGGAGATTCCTTCTGAAGAGGGAGAGTGAGTGAGTGAGTGAGTGAGTGAGTGAGTGAGTGAGTGAGGGAACGAGCTTCCGTCTACTGACTTGCCTCCCATTTGGCTGCAGCGACCGGGCCTGGGCCAGGCTGCAGTCAGAGGCCTGGCCTTCTATCCTGGTCTCCCGCATGGGCAGCAGGGTCCAGGCACTTGGACCGTCTTCTGCTACTCCCTGAATGCATTAGCGGAGAGCTGCTGCCTGGTAACAAGGCAAGTGGAACTTGAACCAATGCCCACGGGGTTGCTGGCATTGCAGGCAGCAGCTTCAGCTGAGCTCCTGCATCTTAGAAGCTTGGGGAATTTCTGGCAATGTGGGTTTTCTACCTGTAGAAGTGTCCACCGAATGACTAGTGCATACTCTGTCCGTGGAGCTCTGAGGGAGAGAAGGGACGTTAGCACCCTTCTCAGATCCAGGTAGCTTTCATGAATGAACGCTTCCCTGTTGGTTTTAGATGTTAAAAATGAAGTCCTTTGTGACAATTATTTATGTGTGTTTATTGTATCTTTAAAATATTATGTAGTAGGAGTGACCATGATTCTTATGTGGAAATGAATTTATTTAAAATGTGCATCATATTTTAGTAATAAGAGGAGTTAGCCAGTTTCTGTTACTTCCATAACTCTTATAACAGACCTTGGAATACTTGTTCTCATGTGATCACTGTACCATTGCTATTTTTAAAAATAACTTATTTGAAACTAGAGAGAGATAAAAGTCTTTCATTTGCCTGGTCAGAGAGAGATCGATCTTTGACCTACTGGATCACTCCCCAAGTGGCCACAGTGGCCAGGGCTGTGCCAGGCTAAAGCCGAGCCCGCGTCATCCAGGTCCCTGTGTGGATGCAGGGTCCAAGGCCTCGAGTTGTTTTCTGCTTTCCCAGGCTGTCAGAAGGGAGCTGGGCCTGCCGTGGTTTTAGGATGCTGTGGTAGCATGTCTCATGATGACATGCTGGCCCAAAGAGTTGGCCTTGTCACGAGCAGGGTCACTGGCCTCCTGATGGGAGGTGCTCACACTGAGTTTGCTGTTTGGCCACAGCAAATGGGAATCTGTGGAAGAACCCATGTTTCCACTGACAGGAGGCCTTTGATTGGGAAAATTAGAAAATTAAAGGTAGTAAAATTGGTAAATAGGTTGTGAATTTTATCTTTTTGGGGTGTTTGAGGGTATTATTAGTGCTAAAATTAATTTGAGAATCAATCCATTTCTACTTTATGAAGGATGAGGCCCTGAAATTACAGTGAACATCTTGAACTCTTGACTGAGCCTCTTTAATGAGAGTAATTTGCATGTAATTTTCTCATAGTTTCTTCGTTGATATTGACTGTATTTTGGATGGATGGCTTCTAGCTTCTGGTCCGCAGACATTCCTGCCTGAGCAAGGCGTGCCCAGAGTGGACTGAAGCGGAAAGTGAAGGGCAAGGCAGGGTTTGGTGGCTGGTGGCAGCCAAAGGATTTGCCACCCTAGACCTTCCCTGGCACTGGCCTTGTTGGAGACTGTACTCTAAATGAAAGCTGCTGAGCTGGAGCTCCCGGGAGGGCTTAGGTGCAGCAGTAAAGATGCTTGGCATTGGTGCTACGGCCTACAAGAAAGGAGAGCTGAGAAAGAGGGATGGTCCTCGGGGCCAGGAGAAACATCCAAACCCTAACACTGCCCTCCCCAGAGTGCTGCTGGGGGGATGCAGACCTGCACACAGTCTCAGGACACTCGAGCCCCTTGTGATAGGCCTGCTAGCGCTGAGTTAAGGCCGCTGGTACATAGAAAGGTGCTGATGTGTACAAAAGAGATGGCCTCCCGTGGCTTCAGTCCAGAAGTGGACTGGTTTCCCTCTCCCTGTGTTTTGACCCCAGCAGGGTCCTCGCGAGGTTTAGGGACACACGGTCTCCCATCCCCAGTGACAGTCCCAGGCTGTTGGTGGGTGTGTCTCAGCTCTGAAATGGACAGTGAGACCAGGCTGTGTGTCTCTTTTAGTTACATCTGATGACCAGTGGGAAAGGAGGCCTGCTAACATGTCTGTGTGTGTTTTTTTCACAGCCTCCGACAGCCAAGATGCACGCCATCATCGAGCGCACCGCCAACTTTGTGTGCAGGCAAGGGGCACAGTTTGAGATAATGCTGAAAGCCAGGCAGGCACGGAACTCTCAGTTCGACTTTCTGCGCTTCGACCACTACCTCAACCCCTACTACAGATTCATCCAGAAGGCCATGAAAGAGGGGCGCTACACAGTGCTGGCGGAGAGCAAGGGTGAAGAGGGGAAAAGTAGGTGACCCTGTTGTACGGGGACTGTGGCTGGTGGGAGCTGTTGAGGAAACCTCAAGACCCCGTCCTTAAAGGGTAGCCCCAGACCCTGCCAGTACATGTGCCTGGAGTTCTTGGCTGGCATTCTGAAGTAACGTCAAGTGTTGATGCTCTAGGAGCTTTGGGATCCTTGTTCTGGTTGCTCAGCATCCCAACAGGTCGTCTGTCTCATCAAGACTCCTCTGCCGGGATGCAGGCCTCTCCTGCACATCCAGGCATGGGTCTTAAATTATCCATACCCACAAATGTGAAAGGGGCTCGCTTCAGTGGGATTTACCTAACACTATTATTTTTGTTAAGCGCCTTTGTTTGGAATTCTTACTGCAAAGGACATTTCCCTCTGTTTTGAATAGCATTTGGAGATAAGTCTGTCTGTCTCTTGCTTGCTCTCTTTACATTTTGCTTATTTTACTCATTTGAAAGGCAGAGAGACAGAGATCGCCCTATCGCTGGTTCACTGCCCAAATGCCTACAGCAGCTGAGGTTAGCCAGAGCCCCATCCAGGACCCCCTGTGAATGGCAGGGACCGAGCACTGGAGCCAGTGTCCTTGAGCGGGGAGCTGAGTCAGGACTCGGCACTCCAGTGTGGAGTAGGGGTGCTCCTGGTGTGCTCTGCTCCCTGGGTTTGCTTTCACTGTGGAGGGGCTCCTGTGCCTGACTGCGCTTGGGGATCAGGGAGTGCTCTCGAAGGAGGCAAGAATAGGCGCAGATCTGCCTTCACGCTCTGCAGTTGATGTGTGTCTTATCCTTGCTGTACACCAAAATGCTGTTCTGTCATTTTGGTTTCAGAATCAGGCACGGACTCTGACAATGAGGAGGAGGATGACGGGGAAGATGGGAGTTACCTGCACCCATCCCTCTTTGCCTCTAGAAAGTGCGACCGCCTGGAGGAGCTGATGAAGGTTATATCCTGTTGGACTCTACTTTTTATGCCTTACAAGACCTCTACACTGAGCGGTTCATCTCGTGTTACAGCTCTGTTTATTTTCTGTCTTACTGGTTTTCATTAAGGTGTATTGTACACATTTTTTATTTTTACTTGGGGGCAGATAACTTTGCTTCTTTTATTTCATACTTATCTGTGTTATAAATTGTTTTTACTTTATTAGATTTGTATCCCCAGGGGATTTGGAGTAAACAGAATGTCGGGGCAGACACTAGGCCTAGGTGGTAAGATGGCCACACCCTGCATCTGAGTGCCCAAGTTCAGTCCCAGCTCCAGCTCTCAGCTGGATCTTCCCCCCATTGCAGCATGGGAGGCAACAGCGCAGGCCCAGGTGCTCTGGTCCCCACCCCTGACGTGAGAGGCATAGATGGAGTACCAGGCCCTGTACTTGACTTTTTCTTCACCTCCCCCCACCCCCAGAGTCTTTGTTTATTTGGAAGAGTGCTAGAGCAAGAGGCAGAGAGAGAGAGGGAGGGAGAAGGAGAGAGAGATCTTCCAACTACTAGTTCATGCCTCAAATGACCATAGATTCGAAGTCAGGGCCAGGCTAAAGCCAGGAGCCAAGAATCCCATCCTGATCTCACATGAGTGGCAGGGCCCACCTGCTCGGCCGTCCCCTACTGTCCTCCCAGGGGGCAGGGCCCACCTGCTCGGCCGTTCCCCACTGTCCTCTCAGGCACATAGTCGCCAACAGTTGCAATACTGGCATCCAGAGTGGAGGTGTTTGTTTGTTTGTTTTAAGGTTTATTTATTTTTTAAAATGTTTATTTGAAAGGCATATTTATAGAGAGAAAGAGAGACCAAAATCTTCCATCTGGCTGCAGCAGCCAGAGCAGGAGCCTGGGGCCACTTGTGCTGTGTCCTCAGGCTCATTCACAGGGAGCTGATTGGAAGTGGAGCAGCCAGGCCTCAAGCCAGTATCCAGATGGAGAGGAAGAAATATCTTCTGTTCACTGATTGGCTTCCCAGAGACCACAACTGCAGTGCTGAGTCAGGTTGAAGCCAGGACCTGAATAGGTCTCCCACGTTAGGTGCAGGGCCCCAAACACCTAGGCCATCTTTAACTGCTTTTTCGTGGCCGTTATCAGGGAGCCATATCAAAGTGGAGCAGCAGTGCGTGAACCAATACCCGTGTAGGACACTGGCAGCATCCACTTTGCTATAACATTGGCCCCAGATGACTGCCAGTTACTTATTTATTTATTTATTTAGGTTTATTTTCATTTGAAAGGCAGAGCTACAGACAAAAGGAAAGACAGGATGAGAGATATTCCATCTGTTAGCCCATTCCCTAAATGTCACGGTGGCCCAGAGCAGAGCTGATGTGAAGCAGGAGCCTGGAGCTTATGGGTTTCCTATCTGAGTGCAGGGGCTCAAGAATTTAAGCCATCCTCTGTTGCCTTCCAAGGCTGTAAACAGGGAGCTAGACTCAAAGTAGAGCAGCCAGTGACTCGAACTAGTGCCCTTAAGTTAAGGGCTGCCAGCACCATACAGGCACAAGCTTGGCCTTGTGTGCCACAGTGCCAGTCCCTGTTTCTTTATTTGGAGATTCATTTATTTGAAGGCCAGGATTTTTCTTTGTTTTGTTTTGTTTTTATTTTTTAGTATTTGTTTTTATTGTAAAGACAGATTTACAGAAAGCTCTTCAGCCATTGTTCACTCCCAAAATGGCTGCAATCACCAGAGCCGAGCCAGTCCGAAGTAAAGATTGAGCACCTGCTCTCCCTCCTGCACTTCTCCCACCTGAGCACCTGCTCTCTCTCCTGCACTTCTCCCTCCTGCTGGCTCCTGACTGCATGTCTCCCACCTGCATTTCCCCATCTGTGTCTCTTCCTCACAAGTGACCTGTCTGTCTTCCTCACAAGTGAATTCTTTAAAGTAATAAATTAATGAAAGTTAAGCTTAAACAAATGACGTTGGCTGTGTCTTTTACAGCAGGAGGGTCCTGTGGTTCAGACAGAGCATGTGCTGACATGCATCTTCTCTGTCTCCAGCCCCTGAAGGTGGTAGACCCAGATCACCCCCTGGCAGCGCTGGTCCGCAAGGCACAGGCCGACAGCTCTGCCCCCGCCCCACACACGACAGATGGCGCCGCTGGGCAGCCCTCCCAGGTGGAGTACACGACAGATTGTGAGTACTGGCTATGCATTCTGACCTGCGTCCGCCACATCCAGGAGCACCTCCTGCTGTGGGGCTGCGCCCCTTCATTGTCCTGACCCCGCGGCAGCACCAACGCTGCATCCTGGGAAGGACCAGGAAGGAGGGCAGTGCCCACTAGCAGGTGTTGGAGGCAGCTGCTGCTTTAACATGTCAGAAGCCGTACACAATGACCTCCTGCCCTGCTACAGCAGAGAGGCTGCCACGGGACACGGGCTGCTGTTTGAAGGGCAGGAGTCATGCTGGGGGGCACGGGCTGCCATGGGACACAGGCTGCTGTGTGAAGGACGGGAGAGTCATGCTAGGGGTCATGGGCTGCAGGTCTTGTGCTATGAACATCGCAGAACCACTTGTTGCTGACAGGTGCAGTCAGGGAGACCTGAGAGCTGGAAAGGTGTTGTCTGAATGGACAGTGGTCCCTGAGGACACAGGTGGCCAATCTGTACCTGTTCAAGTCCCTGATAGAAAATGGGGTAGTGTTTGTGTAGAACTTGCTTGCTCCCAGGAGCTTTCAGTCATGTAGGCATCATGCACAATGCCTCATACGGTGTAAGCAGTTGTGCGGTGTGGCTTAAGAAGCCATGACCCAAGTGTCTGCTCGCATTTGGTGGGTCGCGCAGAGGGCCAGGTAGAGTGGGCACGGTGATGTTTCTTCTTACTGACTGCTGTTCTTCCGGCTTTTTAATTATATCCAGATTGCATTAATTGAAGGTAAATTTTGAGATTTATTTTTATTGAAAAGGCAGATTTACAGAGAGAAGGAGAGACAGATGAATCTCTTCCTTCTACTGGTTCACTCCCCTAAGGGCCACTACAGCTGAAGCTTAGCCAATCCTGAGCCAGGAGCCTCTTCTGGGTCTCCCACACGGGTGCAGGGTCCCAAGGCTTTGGGGCATCCTCTCTGCTGTCCCAGACCACAAGCAGGGAGCAGCCCAGACACCAGTCAGCGACCATATGGGATGCTGGCACTTGGAGGTAGAGGATGAGGCAATTGAGCCATCATGCTGACCCCTAATTGGAAGTTAATCTTGAAGTTGTATTCAGGAGCTTTTAAGGTGACTTTGATCAGGTTCAGGTCTTCATTTAGTTATGTTACTCAGAGGTCAAGTATCGAGTGAGAGAAGGGACTTGTCCCATAGCTTCCTGGGCAGATGTGGCTGCCTTCATGGTATCTGTCAGGCCTGAGCAGAGGACAAGCTTGTTAAGCCTGCTGACTGTTCTGGAAGCTTCCCCTTCCAGCACTGTCACAGACTGACATGATATTGATGTTCCTTGAGGGGACGTTCTGCACGTCACTCCCCAGAGGACTCTCTTCCCTAAGAGAACTTAGTAACTTCTCTGATTGGCAAGTCACCTCTGCTGCGTCAGACTGGCCCTGATGGGTGGGTGGGTCCCATGGAGGGTGCATGGCGTGAGTACACCCCAGGCAGCACTCCCCACGGCTCTGCCCAGCCGACCTCCAAGACTTGGATCGGGTCCAGTCTGTCATGTCTGCACAACCCCACTGTTGTGAAGGAGAGGACATTCTGGCAGAGGGACTGGCCTTGATGCTACTGGAGGATGCCCGGCTCTGCAGAGGCTGTGACAGGACATGCCACCCTGTGTGGCTCGGGGCGGGGGCTGTGCACTGCGGAATTCATCTTTCCAACTGCTCACTGTTGTGAGGAGGAGGCCAGAGGGGCTGGGCAGCTGTCATGCTGTGAGGAGGAGGAGGAGGAGGCCAGAGGGGCTGGGCAGCCTCACTTTCCTGGAGCCCAGGGAAAGTCAAGATTGCGGTTTCCTGACAGGAAGTGCTCCAGCTGGGTGCTCAGTGGGTAGACACCAGCTGCTCTCAGAACATGGGTGGGTTTGAAGTCCTCTGCTGTACACAGGGAACGTGGTAGGCATATAACCACAAGCATGCGGGCCTGGCCTGGTTTTGTAGGAACTGAACATAGCTGACAGGTAGCCTTAGCAGGTCTTTGATGTGTGTTCCTGTGTCAGTCCTGAGGATCAGAGCACTGAGCTCACTCCGCAGGGCCTACTCGGTGAGCAGCACTGTGGGCCACCACCGCAGCCATCTGCCTGGGGACGTTCGGGAAGGTGGCCTGACTCCAGTGTCCTAAGAGATCCAGGAGCTGGAACTTGGGATCCGAGTCCCAGGGAAAGCTATGGAGTTAGAGGACGTCCCCCTGCTCAGGTCCACGGTCTGTGGGCTGAGGTGGCGTTCCCTCACTGTGTCCAACAGGGTACAGCCCCACCATGTCCACGGCCACTGCCAACCAGTGATTCGTGCCAACCAACTTTTTGTTTTCCCTAAGAGTTACTTTGTTTGGAAGATTTACAGAAAGAAGGAGAGATGGGGAGAGGAGGTCTTCCATGCACTGATTCTGTACCCAGGAGCTGTACCAACCAGTGCTGAGCTTATGCAAAGCCGGGAGCCTCTTCCAGGTCTCCCATGTAGGGTCCCAAGGCTTTGGGCCATCCTCTACTGCTTTCTCAGGCCATTAGCAGGAAGGTGGATGAGAAGTGGAGTGACTAAGACGCGAACTGATACCCATATGGGATGCTGGCACTTGCAGGTGGAGGATTAAGTAATTGAGTTGTTACACCAGCCATGCCGAATCTCGTCTTAATTCTGCCCTTGGGGCTTTGCACCTGGGGTCCCGTGCTGGTCCCAGCCGTGGTGGGGAAGCCGATTGCTGTGCTGTCACAGAGTCCATGGGCCGCATGGCCAGCTGAGTGATGCTGACATGGTGTGAGTTTAGTGTTGGTGTACCTGTGCTGTGCTGTGGTGCATGTCTTCTGGGTTCGTCTGTTTGGGGTTAAGCTGTCCAGGTCCTGCAGTGGATGTCAGCTGTTTTCAGCTGGAGAGGGTGGATTCCAAGACCTGTGCCCTCAGGCTGTTGAGTCAGACACCTTCGCAGGGAGCTGGAGCAGAAGCAGAGCAGCTGGGACCTGAACTAGTGCTCCTGTTGGATGCTGGTGTCACAGGCAGCAGTGTAACTCACCGTGCCACCATATTGTCCCCTGCATATTTTTCTCCAAATTCTCCAAATTTTTCTGAGTGGGCATTGTTGCTACACTTGATGAGGTTGGTGGCCACGAGTCCCCAGTGAACACCATGTTCACTGGGTGAAGAACCCTCTCAGGAGGTGGCCAGGCAGGTGCTCTGAGAACAGAGAAGTCATACTGGGGGTGGAAAGCTTGGTTCGAAGCATCAAGGGGTGGATGCCCGCAGCTGCAAATGCCAGCAAAGAGACATACCAGAGGGAGGTATGCCTGAAGCACCTGCAGGTGGGGACGCCTTCCTGGGCTGAGGCCTCACCTGTCCTCTGTGAGTCTTCTTTGAGCCATCTCATTTCCCACGGGAGCAAGGGGTGAGCCTGCAGCATTGAGGGTCTCGGTGTTCAGTCCTGCGCCATGGCGGGGTGAGGTGTTAGGGAGAGAGCCTGTGGTGTTTCAGTGTCCTCTGGGAGCCCCAAGAGCCTGCGTGTACCCCGTCTGCTGCTTGCCGTAAGCTCAGGCAGGGGCAGCCTCCCACCCCCTCAGCATGCTCCCAAGAGGTTTCTTCACACAGTGCTCCTGGGGGCTCGTGGCCAGCTTGTGTTCTGGAGAGAGGGGAGGCCCATCCTGCCCTTGGCAGATCATCCTCCAGTCAGGTGTGGAGGAGCACTTGCCAACCCTCATCTTGGCACGGATGCTCCCCAGAGGGTGGTCTCATGCTCAAACGCATGTGTGTGCCCTAGGTGATGGACCTGGCCTCCTGAAGACAAACAGCACCCCAGAAGACACCCAGAGGTGCTGATCCCACCCAGGGACGGGACCTCAGCTGAGGATTCCGTGACTGCTAGAGAGGCTTGGCCTCCTGCCCCCGCGCAGTGCAGCAGGAAGGGCAGGATGCATCCTGGCCAAGTGGCACTGGGGCTCTCTGCATAGGGAGCAGCCCATCCCTGGGGCTGCCCTTCCCCGATCCTGCCATCTGCCTACTGGTTGTTCACAGCTTCTGCATTGGGATTGGGCTCCATGAGGTAAAGAATAAAAGCTTACACTTTGGGTTCTCAAGAAGAGAAGCGGGAATTTGGCTAACAGAGGCCTCACTCAAAGACTGCATCCTCTTGGAGAAGGGGGAAGCTTTGCGTGGTACAGAAGCCCTCCAAGCGCTGGCTTCCGTTCCCAGCTTCAGCTCCAGGAAGCAGCTGTGACGGCTCAGGGAGCTGGATTCCCGCCACCTCTGTCCAGGTCTGGCTGTGTCTGTGGCTCTGACTATGGTGGGCACTGGAGCGTGAACCAGCAGAGTGCTGGTTAGGATCTCAGAGAAGCGGCTGCCGCAGCCACTTCTTCCTAAGCAGGAGCTCCCTGGCGCACTGGTGCAGGCCTCTCCTCGCTTCAGAGTGCCTGGCTGTGTCTGCACACTGACACAGCCCTGGGGTGCTGCCCTTCCTGGAAAGCCAAGGCCATGTCCACTGCACCCTCGTTCCGCAGAGGGCTGGCTGAGTGGGAAAAGGAATCGGCAGTTATCCAGCATTCAAGTAGCATTCATAGATAAGGCCATGTCTGCTCAGCAAGTTGATCATACGCATGCCAGGGGCAGGCCTGCAAACACAGGTGGCACATGACACCCTAGTGACAAGGACATGGCAAGGTGTCGAGCTTGGGCCAGCCAGAGCCAGGCTTCCCTGGCTACAATGGCCTGACCTGGTCTGGTCTGAAGCCAGGAACTAGTTGCTGCTTTTGGGTTTCCCATGTGGCTGCAAGGGCCCGAGCACGTGGGCAATCCTTTGTTGCTTTCTTGAACATGCTGGCATGAAGCTGAATTAGAAGTGGAGCAGCTGAGACTGGAACTGGCATCTACATGGGATACCGGCGCCGCAGGCGGTAGCCTTACTAGCTGTGTCACAGCAAGGGTGCTTACTGTGTCTGTTCACACATTTTTCAGATTCTTAGGATTTTGTTTAGTACCTCCCCTTCGCCCCCAACTGCCCTCAGTTTCA